TTTAACTTGTGTTCTTTTCATTGTCTTTAACCACCTTGTAAACATCTCAAAAAGATACCATGAATTAGTTAAGTAAAGCTAATATGTTAACAAGACAAACTACTCACAAATATGGTTTAATTATTATTATTCTTTGGTTAAAATGGTGGATTTTTTCTTTTTTTCTTTCTTTTTTTTTATAGTTATAGATGGACACAATATCTTTATTTTATTTATTTATTTTTATGTGGTGCTGAGGATCGAACCCAGTGCCTCACACGTACAAAGCAAACGTTCTACCACTAGCCACAACCCCAGCTCCGGTGCTGTTTTTTTTTTTTTTCTTTAATAGATTACTTTGTTTAAGAGACTCACTCACTGCTTATTTCAACCACCAAATCACAAATAATCTGATTTTATTATTAAATACCATTTCCAAAACCAAAAAAAAATCTACTTCATTTAGCTAATAAAGCGTTCTGTTTTGCATTTAAGTCATATCTGAAAGTGTTTGTTGTACATAAATTCCTTTTCTACTGCACAGGTAGATGTTAAAATAACCTTGAGATTAAATAACTTCAGTGAAGTCCTATAATCATTACCTTGTCCATTTCATTAGTCAAAATGAAAAATTCTAATTATGAACTTCTCTGGCTTCACATTTATGATTATTCGTTCTTTTATCCAGTTGTTGGCATGAAGAATCATCAGAGGAAACAGGGAAAAACACCCTGGCAGCCAATGACATGCCCATATCCCATAGGTTTCCCAGGGCAGCCCTCTTCGACTTTCTAGAATCAAGGCCTGAGTTCTCTACACACACTTAAATGTCTCAACCTCCTGAAAGGGACATTTTATGAATATGAGTGTAGTGAATATTTTTGTAACACATTGTGTTTGGAAATTCCAAATCATGTGAGGCTTTTGAGAGTTACACTGCTCAAAATGAAAATAATAAAGCAGTGGGTGATCAGTATTAACACAATTAAATTAAAGTGTATATAAATTAAACCTTCTCTGATTTCTGAAAATAAATTTGCTTTCAAAATAAGGCTGACTTGTTTGAGCTTTTTTCCTGGAATAATTAGAACCTTTAGTAGCAAAGAAAGGCACATACCTTGAACCTGAGTCGTCATCTCTGCCATGAAGATCACAGGTGCACTGAGAAGGACACGAACACCTCACTCCTTCCAAAAGGCTGAGCACAATGCACAGATGTGCAAAAAGAAGCATGGCTTCTTCCAGAGGTAATTTGAACAAAAGGTAAAAACTAAATCCTAAACATTCAGAAACTGGTGTGCCAGGAATGCAAGCCGTCATTTAGTAACAGCAGATTACAAAGGATTAGCTGAGATCTGTAGTTACTTAACCTTCAAGTGTATCTTACAGGGAATCAATAGACCCAGACTTTGAATATGGTTTAAGCAAAGCTACACATTCTAAGGAGAATAAAAAGTAAACCTGCCAGGGCAATTTCAATAGTTACCCATATCTAAATTTGCAAGGAAATACCCATTAAGTGTCTTTCCTATCAATACAATTGTCAGTACAATTTAACACCATTAATGTTGAAAAAAAAAATCAGTGTTAGGTTGAAAGTATAGCTCAGTGGTACAGTATTTGCCAAGCATGTGCAATGCCCTGAGTTCCACCCCCATCACTAATAATAATAGTAAATCAATGTCTTAGCAAAAGCTAGAAAATTCTGTAGCTTATTTACATGTGCATTATAAATATTTTTTTGCATTTGCTTTTTACCATCATGTATAACATCGCTTTGCAAAATTTAGTTTTAAAGATAGAAGCACATGGCATAAAATTGATTTAGAATAGACATCAATGTTGCCACATACTAGTTATCTGCAAAAACAAAGAATAACAAATCTTGGTCATATATTTTTTAGGGAAAGCTCTTCAATCTACCCCTAATGTGTCAGGAATGAGTCTCCAGTGAAAGTGTGTCCTGAGATTCTTCCAGACCATCTCAGTGAGCATAAGGTTTATCCCAGCATGTTTATTTTTAATGAAGGCAATAATCTCTGTTCAAGAACATATTTTATTCCAAGCTAGTTTCCCAAGTTTGGGACATCAAAACTATATTTGAATATCACTCTTCATGTCTTTTAGTAATATTAAACTCTAGCAGAAAATAAAAATCTCATTTAATTTAAAACTCCATCCACATCCACAAAATGAAAAATCTGCAGGGACAATCAAGGATTTAATCTTCATATCACATGGTTCTGTCCATCACCTTTAAAGCAAAAACTTTGAAAAAAAATCAGTTATACAAAACAAGAATATTGTAGGAAACATTACTGAAAACTTAACTTTCCTATGTACATATAGGGAAGGGAAAGGAAAAGTTCTGGGGACTAAATTAGAACAAGATATATCCCATGCTTCTACAATTATGCCAAAATGGCTTCTACTCTCATGTATAACTAAAAAGAACTAATTAAAGGACTAGGGTTGTGGCTCAGTGGTAGAGTGCTCACCTAGCATGGGTGAGGCACTGGGTTTGATCCTCAGCACCACATAAAAATAAATAAAAATAAAAGCATTGTGTCCACCTAAAACTTATATATATATATATATACACACACTTTATATATAAAAAATATATATACACTTTATATATAAATATATATTAAAAATTAAAAAAAATTTACATAGAAATAGTAAAGTCTGAAAAACTTTGCTAAATTAAACACTGATTTTCAGATTCTGTACAATTCATTTATTCATCAAATATAACTTCCTCTGTACTAAGCTAAACTAAGCACTAGGGGGCACAAAGATGAGTAAGCATGGTCACTATACACAAAGAACTCACCTGATTAAGAGAGGCAGAGTAACAAAGAAGCACAAAAGATCACCAAACCCAGCCTTTGCAGGTCAGGCAAGACTTCCTATGGTGGGTGGCACCTGAGCTGCCCTTATATGGTGACACTGAGATATTATGAGAAAATCAAGAAAGAGGCATTGCAAGTAGAGGTAATAGCAGGAGCAAAATGAGGGAAGCAAGAAACAGTATGGTGTCCTCAGAGAACTGCAAGCACTTTCTGTGGCTCAGGCCCAAGATTCTGAAGCAGGAAGTTAAAAATGAGGGAGAAAGATAAAGCTGGAGAGGTAAGACAGGACCCCGGTTATGGAGCAAGGGACTTAGATTCCCTCTGAAAGAGCTTACACTCAGCCTGTAGGTAAGGCTTGGGATTAACACATTAGATCATCATTTTAGGTGGAATTTTATGGCCACCGAGTGGAGGAAAGGTTTTGACAGCAAATGAGAAGGGAGAAGGAGGGTTCAGGTGGACAGTTGTGGTAATGTCCAGGTGAGCAACCATGTGGCTCCAACTTGGACTGCAGTGCCAGTAATGGGACAGAGCAGCTTCAGGAAACCTCAGAAAGACAGCAATGAGTAGATGTGGCAAGGAGAAGAGGAAGGGATCCAGAGTCAAACCCATAGTGTCCCAGTGCTGGAGACACAGTAATAGGTGGTATCTCAGACTGAGTTTTTGAGGACCAAAGGAGAAAGAAATGGTGGTAGGCAGAGCTCTAATTACCAAGTGACCACATGGTTTTTGAGTCATTAATTTCAAGGATGTTATGACCTACATGGAAGCAAAACATGCCCAATTGAGAATGGAAAATCTGTTTAAATATAAAACATCAAATTATAAACTTAGAGGCTAAAGGAGCTGTGTAATCAAACCCAGAGCTTCCTCATCTTATATAAGAAAATAAACTGATAGATGTAGTATTAAAATATTATCACATTGTTGAAGTCCTTTATGCTTAAGGCACCATTACTCTTTGCTTATTGCTGGAAATGAATCCAAGGTTTTGCAAATTGGAACTCGGAATCAATTTTCTAAACATACTGTCTCAGCTACTTAATGGCTCTGTGACTTTGGACACAGAACCTCATTGGGCTTTCTCTATAAAGGGCTCAGCTATAGGAAACAAGCAAAGAACTACTGGCACAAGCATCCTGAGCTCTCTAAGAACATTAGATATTTTAATTTGGCTATTGGAGAAAGACAAAAAGCTAAAAAGTCTCTTTGGGGCCATGTTGAAGAGGGTCCTGAATATCTAGCTGAGAGATTTATACTCACATGGAAGCCAATAGAAAATGTTGAGCTGAAGATCTGAGGGACGGAAATTTTTCTTTTGAAAAGATTAGTTATGAAATTAATCTATGGATTGCAGTGGGGAAAGCTGAAGAGTAGGGAGATCAACTATGAGGTTGTCGTTATTTGTCTTTGTTATGCTGGGGATTCAACTCAGGGCTTTGTACCTGCTAGGCTTCACTCTACCACTGAGCAACATCCCCAGCCTTTGTCTAAAATTTTATTTTGAGCCAGGATCTTACTGAATTTCCCAGACTTGCTGTCCTTGAATTTGCTGTCCTTCTGCCTCAGGCTCCCAAAGTAGATGAGATTACAGTGTGTACCACCACACCTGCCTCATCTAGCAGACTGTCAAGGAAGTTTACTATTTCATATACACGGAGAATTGTATATATAAAACTAATACCCAGATTTTACTTAGTATGCAACCAAGGGATCGAGACAATTTACAAAACGAAAACCAAATCAAGATAAGAAAATACAACAAGTAAAGCTACACGGCCTCACTAGCACTTAAAGAAAGGTGAAATATAATTAATTTAAGTTATAGTAGATAACCCATAGTTTAAAAATAAAACAATACAGCATCATCAGCGTTTGGTGAAAAATGCAGTCACACACTGTCAAGGCAGTATAAATTAATTCTTTTCCAGACAGTAAGCTTGCCACAGTAATATTATTTTATGTTTGTATCCAATAACTCAAGTCTGGAGAAACACTCAAATAAAATCATCTCTCAGAGAAAAAAAAAGATATTTGTAATAAAATGTTCCCAATAGTGCATCCATGAAAGTAAAAACTGGAAGCAATTTAGATGTCCATTGTTTAAACAATGGTATATTGTGCTATTATTAATATTCATTTAAAATGACAAATTTTACAAATTCATTCAGCATTTCAACAGATATTTATTGAGTGCCTACAGAATGGGTCTACATGCTAAGAATATATCAAAGAACAAATATACAAAAACTCCCACTCAGATTGAACTTAATTCTAACAGCAAACATGGAAACACATATGCAGGAAAATGGTAATTAAAAATTGCAAAATACATAACAAAATGAACAGATATCACATTGCTAGATAAACTATATATTTGCAATGATCAACATGATTTGAATATGAGTTTAATGTTTATTTGATTATTTTTGTTAAACAATGTTGTCAATAATTGATTCTAAGTATTTAAGTTTTGAAATGATAAAAACGGTTTCTGTTTTAGATTTGAAAGTCCAACCACTCATTTTAGTAATAATTTATTGAGGATTGTAAATTATTATTATTAATTTATTATAATATTAAAAAAGTGGTTAATGGAGAACTAAGGCAAGTTGTAAGTCATCAGTCTGGTGTAATGAATGCCATGATAAGAAGAAAGAAAAGAAACAGGATTTTAATCTCATGTATCTACATGCATCAAAGGAGCTGAGGAATGAGTTCACGTATAAAGAAATAGAGACATATGCACTATAATCGCCAAGGCACAAACAGAACAATGAGCCAGTCTAACAGGACAATTACTATGTCTGCAGTTGATCCAAATGGGCTTGTATTTAAAATAAAATTGAAGTAGTAAAAAAACACACACACACAACTAAAATGCTTCGCCAGTGTGATTTTCTCTTATTTCAGATTCTTCCAGAAGCCCGTGGGCTTTGAGATACATCCATTGGTAAAACGCTTGTCACAGGCATTGCTTGGTGAGTCTGACATTTGAACATGGCAAACATCGCCCTCCGAAATCTACAATAAGAAAGGGAAAATCTGGCTTTATTCTATAGGGACCTGGAACTGCTGAAGCATTTTCAAACACGACTAAGGGGCACTACTGTGAATTGACATTTCCAAATATATTTTCTGCCTATGACTTTAGAATCTACTGTTGGGAGTCTTTATAAATGTATAGAGTATACGGTACAAATAAGATCAATTTTGCACTATTCATTGAAGACATTGAATAAAAATCAACAATTATGAATATTTAAAATAACACTTCAAATGTCAAGTGCAATGGGTTATTTATTTGAACTAAAGATGTGTGTTTCATGTTCTTGAGCAAAGGCCAGTTGAATTGAGGTAGGTGGGGCTTGAGTCGGGGGCTTGAGCTCCAAAAGAACTACCAGCAGATTCTGAATTTAAATGTGCTTTTTATTCTTTTGATGTGGTCTGTTTGGTCTTGACTTTTGTATGTTCTTTGACATACCTGCTGCTGCAGCTGTTCTCCCTAGCATGTGCATTAATACATGTTTTAATAGAAGCAGCACTGTCATCCCAGGATCCAATTACCTGACCTCCACTGAGATTTTCTGGCCAAATATTTAAGCATAGTAGATTGGTCCATTGTCTAGCACTAACAGGAAATTAAGTAATAAAAACTTCACTGAGGAGTCAAGAAAGGAACTCCTTGCTAAAAGTCTCAAAAAAGGGAGGAAGGAAGAATTCACTATTAATCTAGATAACTATCCACTCCCAACGTCCTTTATGTTAGTACTGAATACTTCTCTTACATTTGAAAATGTTTTCTGTCTGGAAAGTATAAAACCATGCTACCTACTAAAAATAAGGGCCAACATTGCCTGGTCTATTTTCTGGTACTAGAAAACTTTTCTTTGGAGACCACTATATTTGGGGGGTTAACCACCCCGAACCAAGCTGACCAATGACCAACCAGGGACTTTTCTGCCAGGAATCTCTCTGGGATAAAGCTTGCCTTGGAGGATACTTAGCTGGTAGAATTTGAGTCTTACATTGCCAAGATCATCTCTGCCACCAAGTGGGAAGAGTCTGTCACAAATCTGGAACTCTGGGCATTTAAGTTCATAGATGCTGCTCTGGTTGCATAAGCCAAATAACCTTACACTAGATTTTGTCAACTCTTGAAAAGTTTTAGAATATTTTCAACTGCCTTTTTAAATTTTCCTGGTTCTAGAGATTGAATTTAGGGGCAGTCTACAACTGAGCTACATCTCCTGCCCCCCTTTTAAATTTTATTTTGAGATAGGATTTCTCTAGATTTCACAGGCCAGCCTTGAACTTGCAGTCCTCTGGCCTGAGCCTCCTGAGTGTCTGGGATTACAGACGTGGTCACCATGTTTGGCTTCCCTACTACCTTTTAAACATTATTTTTGTGTCAATTTTCTTTTATTCATAAACAATTTAGAGCTAACTTACCTTTTATTAGCAGCCACATATATACAAGGGTTGTAGAATGTAGAAGATTTTGCAAACAGTGGAGCTATGATGGCCATTGAAGGAGGAATCTTCTTTGGGTCACCAAAAGAAGCCCATAAGCACACAATGGAATAAGGAGACCATGCCACCAAAAACATCAATATCATTATCACAGACATCTGAAAAAGAAATAGGTATTTGCTAAACCAAACATCTAAAATATTTAAATAGTTAATATATCTAAAATAGCATAAAAATCTATCTGTTGGAATTGAATAAGTTTATGTTGTTGATGACAAAGGAAATAGCTGAGTATTTGCCATCACTGTTCTTAACAAAGGTGTCTGAAGTCATCTATGATAACTAGAGCCTGGAAAATGGGTATGTTCATCAATATATGGCACTGCCTTTAAGAATGATACAGGCATGTGAAGGATGCCCTCTTTCTTATGATGTGATCAGGAGAATATAAAAGATGGCTTTGATGAAAGATGAAAACCCACTCCAACATACTTCAGGTAATTGTGCTCTGAGCAAGAAAATGTTGTTTTTTTTAAAGACATTACTTTTTCTTCTTCTCTGTCTCCCCTCCCCTCTCCTCCCCTCCCCTCCCCTCCCCTCACCTCCCTTCCCTTCCCTTCCCTTCCCTTCCCTTCCCTTCCCTTCCCTTCCCCTCCCCTCCCTGCTATCAGTTTGGATCTGGAATGTCCCCAGAGGCTTATGTGTTGGAGGCTTGGTTCCCAGCTGGTAGCACTATTGTGAGGTGGTAGAAAACTTTTAGAGTGTAAGGCCTAATTGGAAGAGGTATGTCATTGGGGTGTGCCCTTGAATGGGTATATTTTGTCCCTGGACCCTTCCACCCTCTCTCTCTGTTTTGCTTTCTGGCTACTAAGATGTGACAAGCTCTACTCACCAGTGGTTCCCTGCCATGATGTTCTGCCTCACCACATACCCACAACAATGAGACCAAATGACTAGGGACTCACACCTTGGAAACTATGAGCCAAAATAAATCTTTTTTTTTTCTTTATGTTGATTTTTTTTCAGACATTCTGTCACGGCAACAGAAGGCTGATGAAAACACTTCCTTACTGTGCTTATCAGCTAATCAAAAAAAAAAGAAAGAAAGAAAAGAAACTTTCTAAACTAAATCTGGAAATTAAAAAATAAAGTCTTATCTTGAATTTAGTGGATTTTACCATAGGTCATTTGAGTTGAATATATTTTACATACAGTGCAGAAAATTTTGTAAAGAAGCTCCTTTGCATTTTGTTTAAATGAAAAACATTTAATTTTTATATTGCTCCCTCCTGATTGCCTACTACAATAAAGAAACAGATTTTAAAAGACATAAACTTGTCAGGACACAAAATCAGAGATTAGATAATTGTTTGTTTGTTTGTTTTAATGGAAACAATAACTGTTGGGCAAGTGGCAGACTACTTACCAGGCATGAAAATGATTAAAAAATAGGCAAAAAAAGTTGTTTGTTTTTTTTTTTTTTTAAATAGCAATGAGAGAAGCCCAAATACAGACTAATCCATTCTACAGATCTATAGAAGTATTCTAAGGTACCAAAAATCTCTGAATGTAGGGGTGCACATGGAACTCAAAACAGGAGAATTGGGGGACTGGGGTTGTGCCTCAGTAGCAGAGCGCTTGCCTCGCATGCATGAGGCACTGGGTTTTATCCTCAGCATTATATAAAAATAAATAAAATAAAGATATTGTGTCCATCTACAACTAAAAAAATATTTTTTTAAAAAAACAGGAGAATTGGTTGAAATTTGCAAAAAGAAGCAGTTAGACTCCCAGATCTCCTTTGCAGGTCCATTCAGTCCACTCAGTAACTGCCTCTTCCTCTCCCTACAAGAACCCTAGGGGCTCAGCATAAAAATGGCTAATGCAGGAAAGCTCAGGACTCAGGGAGCCCAGACTCAGCTAAGCAATGCAGTACTGTACTAAAAAGAGGGGTTTGTTTTGTTTTGTTTTGTTTTGTTGCATGTTGCCTTCTCCCAGCACTGGGCTTGAGAGTACTGACAGACATGAACCTCCTACTCAGGGACATGAAAAAAATCGTCTCTTTGGAGACTGACCAGCCCAGTATGAAAAATTTGGAGGTACAGTCAGAAATCCCCTCTAATGAGCACCTCTGAGCTTACTATCAGATTTTTAGTGCATCACTGGCCAGTACTGACCACCAGACAATGAGAAACTCTCACACAGGCAGAGAAAAAAATAACACAGGAATGTAGTATACCACAAAAATATGTAGTGACCAGAAGAAAAGTGTAAATATATACAGAATGTATCATAGAATAAGAGATACACCTAGACAACAAGAAGAGGTTATTAAAAGAGGACAGTGTATAAAATAATTATTTTATCTAGAAAAAGATTGCTTTATTCTATCTATAAAGGTGAGAGTAGAAACATTAAAAAATGTCATAGGAAGGTTGAATAATATTGCCAGATTCCGGCTGGGATTGTGGCTCAGCGGTAGAGCGCTCGCCTAGCATGGGCGGGACCCGGGTTTGAGCCTCAGCACCACATAAAAATAAAGGCATTGTGTTGAGTCCATCTACACCTAAAAAATAAATATTTTTTAAAAAGATATTGCCAGCCTCGATTTAGAGAAAGATGGGAGAAGTAGGTTCTATAAGTACAGGTCAGCTATTTATTTAAAATTTTATATTTTGTTCAACATAATTTTTTTATGGTTCATCTTTTCCCATCTTAGAATTTGGTTTTTTAAATTTTTTTTCATTTTGTTTTTTCCCCACATTTTTATTGTTGCATTATAGTTGATATAATGGTAGGATTTGTTATTACATATTCATATATGCACACAATATAATTGGGTCAATATCATTCTCAGCACTCCCCTCTCCCTCCCCATCTCCCACCCCCAGGATCCTCATCCTTTACTGATCTCTCTTGAATTTTCATGAGATCCCCTCCAAGCCTTTCTTTTCCTTTTGCCTCTCTAGCTTTCACATATAAGAAAAAAAACATATGGCCATGTTTTGGCTTATTTCACTTCACATATTGGTCTCTAGTTCCATTGATTTTCCTGCAAATGACAAAATTTAGTTTTTCTTTATGGCTGAATAAAATTCCATTGTGTATATATACACGTTTTCTTTATCCATTCATTTGTTGATGAACACCTAGATTGGTTCTGTAGTTTGGCTATTGTGAATTGTTCAATATAATTTTTACACTAATTTGGTTTTTTAAATTATTGTATTACATTATTTTTTATATAATTTATTTATTTATTTGATGGGAATTAACCCAGGGGCACTTTACCACTGAGCTACCTCCGTAGCCCTTTTTATTTTTTGAGATAGGGTCTCACTATGTTTCTGAGATTGGCCTCAAATTTATGATCCTCCTTCCTCAGCCTCCTGAGTTGCTGGGATTACAGGTGCACCCCCACACCCAGCACAAACATTTTTTATTATTATTGAGTATTCTGGTACACCTTTAAATTTTGCACTTAAAACTTGGGCTTCATTATTCTCACCCTCATCACAGATATGAATATGGTTGAGGAAATCTTCAGAAACTAGAAAAAGACACAAATAACAGCTATAAAACAAACAAAACAGAGACGATCTAGCAAAGAAAATCAGAAGATAATTCCAGAAAATTAAATATCTGAATAAATGGATTTCTAGGAAAAGAGAATAAAGAAAAGAGAAAGGCAGGAATATCAAAAAATAATACAAGCAAGCTCCCAAAAGAGGCAGAGTTAAGTCTCCACATGAAAGTACTCATCAGGTACACGGTTCTGCATGAATAAAGACCACACCAAGGCACATCAGTATGAAATTCAGAAAACAAGATTCAAAGAGAAGAGCCTATGTGCTTCCAAAGAGAACTCACAGATCACTACAAAGAATCAGTCACCAGCATGCCAGTGGCCTTTGCAATAGCAATACAGAAAGCTAGGAGACTCTATAGAGCAAGGCCCTCAAAATTCTTTGATTTGTATTTTTGCACCTAGAATTCCAGACCAAGCAAATATAGTCCAATACAATAATAGAATAAGACATTTCAGTTATGCAAAGTCTTAGAATTTTTACCTCCCTTGAAACTTCAGCAATCTACTGAAGAATGGGCTCCATCAAAATAAATAACACCACAAAGACAAGCAATCCCCAAAACAGGCCATCTAGCCCTGCAAAGGAGAAAAACGAAGTCCCAGGTGGTGAGGAAGACAGCGAAAGATGAAGGCTTCCTGAGCAGGGGTCTTAGAGAGCAACCACCCCAGAAAAGAGCAAGGGGCTCAAGGGAACCAGGAAGGATGCCTCCAGGAAGAAGGTGAAGTGAATCTAGTCTGTAATGTGTTTGAACACACTGACAGGAGGGAGAAAGCCTTTTAATCTCACCAAACATTGCTAACAATGTTTGAGATAAGGAAAGAGAAAGATGGAGGGGAGGTGTGGAGCAGGTTGGTGGCTTACGAGAAATAAATCCTCCTCGTCCATAATAGGAATTCCAATGATGATAACCAACAGAAATATCCAAAGAGCCAATGAGCATATCATTTGGGAATATAAAGAAAAAAAAAGACCTGGGGAGTGAAATGGGAGGTAGGGGGAAGGAGACTGGGGCAAGTCATGAGACTCAATTTCAACTATGTGTTTGTAAAAGTGTTATTACAAAACAACTTTTTAAGAATGTTGACATCTTACCTTTGTTACATCTACTTGGTCTGACCAGTCTCTGTTTAGGTATGCAGTGCAGTTACTAGCAGCATGGTGTTTAATGGATCGAGTGACGTGATAGTAGCAATAAAACATCACTGTCAAGGGCACAATAAAATTTACTGCAATCACTGTCATCGTGTAAGACACAAAAGACCTGGAAATAGGAAAAGACAATGACAACTCATTTAATATCCTAAATGGGAGAAGGGGGAAAAGAGATAACTTATTAGAAATAATAGTGACAGTCATCTTATTGTTAAAAAGTTTAGGAATTATATTTGACTTTCAGTTCACTTAGACCAACTCCTGTTGGCAAGTTATGGCCTGTGGGTCATGCCAGCTGTTCAACTATCTTTGTACATAAAGTTTTACTGGATCCAGCCATGTACATTCATTTACATACTGTCTATGACTTAACAGTATGATAACAGTTAAATAGTTAAAACAGAAACAATCTGGCCTATAAAGCTGAAATAGTTGTGTTTTTTGTTTTTGTTTTTACTCTTTTCAGAAAATGTTGTAGACGGAGATTTAGAAATTTTCTATTTGTTTTTTGGAGTCATCTCTCATTTCTCTCAATGAACTAAATTATCCTTGTTACCCTGGAAAACATGGAGGAGCATCACCGACTCTTAGGCCCTTGTAGTGACTGCACTTTTGCTACAAAGCTCTCAGAATGTGCCTAATCACCAGATCAACTTGGAAAGACAGCAGGAGGCAGCTTGGGCTTTTGCCAGAGGTGCCTGCTCTAGAGCTTCATTAACACTTTGCTCACAATCCTAACTCTGAGATGAGCAAACATTGGCAGGGTGATTGGTCTCCCCATGGATGCCTTAGAAAAGGACAGAAGAAGAAAGAAAAGGACAGATTGGGGTGCAAGGGGACTAGGTAAACTTAACTTTCAAAGAAACATAATTCATCCTTCTATTTTGACTCTGGATTGGATCACATCATCATTACCAAAGAAGCACTTTGCCACACTCTGTATGAGAAAAGTGATCTGACCTTAAATCTGGAACTTGTTTATTTTTATTGCAGTGCTAGGGAGCAAACCCAGTGAGTGCTTCCTTCATTCATGCTAGCCAAGCACTCTACCACTGAGCCATATCCCCAGCCCAGTATGAGCTTAAATTTGAAGGGTGAGAAAATGTATATAATCAAAGCGTTTGATTATAAAGTATAGACTTGTTTCTTACGTATCATTTTTCCTCCAATTTATGGTACAGGTAGCCCCAGTAGGATCTGGGGCATAACTGGCCCACCCTGTGATGGGCATCATAGCCCAAAACAGGCCATTGATCCAGGCCCCCAGAATCATGCTGACATAAGTGTTGGTAGTCATTCTTCTTCCTATCAATAAGCATAAGAAATGTTAGCATCGTGTGCAATGATGGGACTCACTTTGTTTTCACTGAAGATTCAAAATTTATCAAGATTTTTATAGAGCACTTTAGTTCACTCAAAGCTATTCACATGACTCACATTCTGTGAAACATCACAGATTAGCTGAAACCTGAACAATAAAAAGGATCAGCAGAGGATGAGCAAGAAGAGCTTTTCAGGCCAAGGAAAACAGCATATACAAAGACCTCAGAGAGAGAAAAGGGCCTGGCCAGTATCCCAGGATGAGAGTGGCCCTGGCCACAGCTGGAAAGGTGGCTGGGCTGGATCTTGCTGGGCCTCACAGGCTGTCTTAGCAAATTTGGCTTTTACTTTAAATGTAATAGGAAGACATTGAAACTTGAATAAGGATTGCCAGAGAAACAAGAATGACCCTGATTACAAACCACTACGTTTATATTTTAAAGGGAATATAGGTTGAGTGAACATTAGATAATAAATGGCTTCACTGAGAAAGCAGAGAAAAGAAAAGGTTGTGACATACCCACATCCGGGCGACAGATGGTCAGGTATCTATCCACGGCCACCACTGTGAGCAATCCGATGCTTGCCATTCCAAAAAAGATATTCAATCCAGCATAAATCTGAAAATCAAAATGGGAAAGAATCCACCATTCTAACACCCACCCAAGAAACATTTAGATTTTTATCTCATTCTTAGAACATATTTAAAATATATTAAAGCTTTTTCATTTACTGTTTTAAAGTATATCTTCTGTTATCCAATTGTAACTGCTTTAATAAAAGCAGTTATGGAAAGTGTTTGAGATCTCATTAATTATTTCTTTTTTCATTTTAAGACTTAAGGCGAAACATTTACACAACATATTCTATAAACAAAGTGAAAAGCAAGTCATTAATTAGGGTAAAATGCATACAAACCAACAAAAGCTTAGCATTCAAAAGGGTGCAACAGGGGTGAAAGGTAAACTCAATGGAAAAATGGCCAAATGAGTGGGCTACTCAAACAAGCTGATTTATATTTGAATATTGATGATATAAGATAGTTTATGCAAAAAATAAAAATTATAAGTTCACATACACAAAAATGATGAAAATTTAAAAGTCTAAAAATCCCAAGTGTTGAGGAAAGAAAGAGAACTTCTTATGACTGGAATGACCATTTTGCAGAACAATCTGGCCACATCTAATAAAATTGAAGGTATTCCTACAACCTAACCCTTCCTCCCCCAGGCAGGGTGTCTAGAGACACTCTCACATGTTGCAGATGGAAATATGTATAAGAATGTTTTTTGAAGCTTTGTGAAAGGAAAACATTGGGAACAAATGCTTAGTAGCAGGAAAGTGAAAAAAGTACATTGGGCTATGTTCATATGATGGAATATTATATAGTAGTTAAAATAAGTGACTTATAGATACATTCATCAACATGGATAATCTCAAAAACATAACAGTAATTAAAGAAAAAAATCGCATAATGCCAGCAATATGATATCATTTACACAAAATTTAAACCATTTGGACAGTATCTGGTTTATGTATACAGTAAGAAATATGCTCATGGGAGGGAAAGGAATAAGATTGGGAATGGTATGTAGTGGCCTTCAACAATCTCTCTGAAGTTTTATATCACCAAAAAGAATTACAACTATAAACACAGATCAAAAAGTACTAATATTTGACAAATCTATTTGGTACATTTGTGGGCATCTAGTATTCTCTATAATTTTATGACTTTCAATAGTAAACTGTTAAAAAATAGAACATATTTCATATTTTTCTACTAACCTAATGCAAATTAATATTAGTTCATTCCTTGTCAGTAAAAATAACAGTAAATATATTTAATAACAATTCTTACAGAGGACTTTTTATAGGAAAAATATCAACATGATAGTGTAACTACACTCATTGGATTGTCACCAAATATTTTGTTTCAAATGAAAGTAGAATATTTCCTTTTGAATTTGAAATTTATAAATTTTTATTTGAATATGCAGATTATCACTCCTTCTCCAGTAGAATATTAGTTGCTTCATTAGTTTTCCACTTTGAGTTGGGAGAATTTTTAATATATAATGGTGATGAGTGATTTTATTTCTCCTCTTAAAGAATGTATCTTCAGTCACTTCTGAAGCTGTTTTCCATAAAAGCACTATATCTATTATCCTGCAATTTCTTATTTGATTTAAATTCTTGGGATTTTCAAAAGACATTTAAATTTACATCTCTCTGATCTACTTTATTTTGCTTTTATTCCAAAGATCTCCAAATACCTGACAGCCTGTATATCCAAATTTCCAACTTCCATACAGATCTGAAGCAGCAGACATGGGATAGCCAATACTACTGACCCCTATATCAGTAAAAGCCAGGTTAATAATGATTGCATTCGTAGGTGTCCGAAGTTCCTTGTACTTAATGAAGATGCCCAGAACTATTAGGTTGCTGAGAATACTTATCACACCTGAGAACACAAAAATGTCATGTACTTTTTAATTTGAATGTTTAAAATAAAATCAATATTAAATATGTAAGCCTTTCAAAAAACATAATAAATTCATTTTAGTCATTGATTTCTTAATGTTCTTAAAATTGTCACATCTTCACAGCCCTGCTGAGAAATAGATATAAGAAAGTGAAGGGCTGGGGATGTGGCTCAAGCGGTAGTGTGCTCGCCTGGCATGCGTGCGGCCGGGGTTCGATCATCAGCACCACATACAAACAAAGATGTTGTGTCTGCCGAAAACTAAAATAAATTAAAAAAAAAAAAAAAAGTGAAAACAAAGAATCTGCTGATTGCATAACTGAAGGTCGGTTTATTTTTTTTCTCTTTGTAGCAGGGATTGAACCCAGGGGCACTCTACCACTGAGCCACATTCCCAGCCCTTTTTTGTATTTTATTTAGAGTCAGGGTCTCACTGAATTGCTTAGGGACTTGCTAAATTGCTGAGGCTGGCTTTGGACTCAGGATCCTCCTGCCTCAGCCTCCCTAGTCACTGGGATTACAGGCATGTGCAACTGCACCTGGCTGAAGTTTGGTTTTAACACCACCACTCTTGATCACACTGTCCTTGAAACTCTCCCTTTGGCTTTCATGACGCCATCCCTGCTGATTTTTAGGATGCAGGTAGTCTTACCACCTCCTTGCTTTTGGCAGTGTAACTCCTCTCCTTTCCTGAAGTTCTTCTTTCTGAAGCCTCGACTATCATTCTATTCTAACAGTACTTTTGTCACTGTTTTCAGCCCTGACACATGCTTCTGTTTCTGCATTTTCTTTTTATTTAACTCATTGACATTAAACACTTATTAAACATCTACCATGTGTAAGTCATGTGACTTTTTCAAATGTCTTAAAACTCAGCGTGTCCAAATCTGAATTCTTCATCACACACACACACACACACACACACACACACACACCTATAGACTAATGCACACTGCAAGACTTGACTGTCTGGACAGCAAGTGATCCATTGGGATCACAGGTGAAATCACTCTAACCAGGATTCCACAATCTAAGATCTGAGTCTCAGCCTTTCAGTCTAGAACTCAATGTTTTCAGTACCCCAGAATCAACTGAACTGAGGTAGATTGATGACCAAACTTATTGATCAGAGAGCTGATGCATTCTACAATGAGATATTGTTGGATAGGCTGGATGTGCATGTTAACCTGATCAGCAACACCCATATGCTACAAGGAATGCATGAGTTTTCCATAAGCACAGGTATGCTGCCCTGGGATATAACAGTGGAGGAGGAGCAGAAGCAGATTTCAGTGGAGAGAAGTTAGAACCATTACCAGACTCTTGGCAACTAAAGGAGTGTTATGCAACAAACAGGAAGAGTTGTTTCCCATGAAGGAAATTACTTGGTAAGCAATCTACAGCTATAACAAGAACCAGGGAAGGTTCCAAGCACCAACACACAAAAGGATCAGCTAAGTAGGAATTCCAAGTGCATCTTGGCACCGCAGTCAAAACTTCCATCTTCAGTATTATACTCATCTTCCATATTCCTTTTCTTTTATTGTTCCATGGTGCTGTCAGAATACACTTGCTATAATAATCATGTCTCTTATCCTCCTCAAAACTTCCAATAATTCCCACTGCCTGTGGGATAAAAATTCAAACTCCCCAGCCTGATCTGACCCTTTGCTAAGGTCTGTTATTATCTCTTTAAGTTCCACACTTGTCAAACAAGCGCTCCATTTTAATTATTTATCAAATATGTCATGTTTGTTGAAAATACTGATTCATACTTTCCCCACTTGAAACACCCTGCTCCTTGCTTTCCCATTTCCAAATGCTAACATCCTTCCAATTTCAGATCAAGTCCAATTCTGCCCTTTAGCTGCTTTCTACCCACAGTACTGTTGTATGCGCTTCCTCCCCAAATCCCCAAAGTACTTATACTTAATCCCAATGTTATCTCTTATGTATTCTGTCTTCTCATGAAGTTATCAAGCACTTTATGAATTCTATATTCTTTGACTATGTGACATGTAGCAAAGCTATTTAATAAAAAGACCACAACTAATAAATGAAGTTTAACTTCAATTATTCCTTTAATTAAGCTTAATTTCTATTGTTCCTTCAAGCTTAATTAACACAGAGTAAATTCAATAACTCTTTGACCTCATTTTTAGCATCTACTACTGTATCATACATATAATACTGAGAAAAAAAACAGTGAATCTTTCTGGGCTACCTACAAATCTGATGACTTTAAAAGTCAGATAAAAAATAGTGTAGTAAATTGTTGCCTAACAAGTACACAATCAAAATAAAGTAATTATATTTTTGGGATAGTCTTAGATATAATGGGTGTATTACATAAACAATTTGGCCTTCTATCTGTTCTTTCTATAGCTCTCTTAAGCACTGTTTTTATTTTCCTAATTGGGAGTGTTTTCTAATAGGTAGGCAGCTGATCACTTCAGTTAGGTCTTGTTAGGGCCCATTTCTCAGTCTACACTGTAAGCAGCAGTGTAAACTGAGATTGATCATCCTTCCCTCTTGAAACATCCACTTTGGTTTCTGTGGCTTCCCTCCAATCTCACTGGCAGGGCCTTCTTAATCTATTTCCTTTCTTCAGCTCTACCTTATTAAATATGTGTGTACTGTCCAACTTTCTGTCCTAGACTCCTTTCTTTTCTCATTCTACACCTTCTGTTGAATGATTTCTATCCAATATCAGTCTCATGCTACTCAAGCTTTTAACTGGATATCTAACTGAACCCAGGTGTCTCCTCCTGCCCCAAACCTGATCTTCCTCAGTCATGTTCCCATCTGGTGAAAAGTGCCAACATTTATTCAGCAGCCCCCCAAACCTAGGAGACAACAGCTCCCGCTCTCTCTTTCCCAGTCCCCACATCTAATCAATTCCAGCTTGAGTAATCTTCCTTCTGCCATTAGTAACTCTTCGAAGCACTGCAGTGGTCTCCTACATGGTCTCTTAGCTACCACTGTAGCACATTTCTGAAAGGCAAATCAGATCACGTAATTCCTGTTTAAAACCCTTCAGTAGTACCCTGTCTCCTCACAGTTTACATTCCTTCATTGCCCAGAACACACAGCCTCTGAAAACCTTTCATTTTACAAATCACCCATAGTAATTTCAGATCCTTAAATTTACCACACCCTTCCTTAATTGGGGGAGAGTGTTCAAGTAAATAAACAGAACATTGATAGCAATGAAAACTGGTAAGTTTATAGGACCAAAAATCTAAATGAAAGATTAAAGTTAAATCTAAAGTTAAAAAAAAAAAAAAAAAAACCTTGGCTCTTGGTAAAAGTAACAAATGTTTTGCACCATTTTCTTCATAGTTCTGATTTTGATTTAGTAGTTTAAGTGGGCTTTGTTAAAGGAAGAAAATCAGGGGATCTAAAGAACAATATATGCTTGATACAGAGGCAGAACAAAATCTATTTGTAAAGATTAAATATGCTCCCTTCAGTTCATCTACCAAAAACTTGAACAACATATACTCATGGTAGTCCTTAACCAAAACAACCCTCGTAGTTGTATTTCCATGTAATTCCAATAATGAGATTGTCTTTTTGCAGCAGCAGCAGCAGCAAAAAATTTAAATATATATATATATTTTTTTTTTCCAGGATTTCACACACTAAAAGTATCCAAATTAATGAATTAACATTCCTGAAATTACTAAAAGTAACTAAGGAACTCGCAATTTTTAACACATATAACTCTAATTATGAATTAGAAGGGAAAACTAAACAATTATAAATTAGACAGGAATATTTGTTATGCTTTTCATTCTACTTTGGAACATGCTTGAATTTTTCATAAGTCAATTCAAAAAATAATGAACAGTTACTTCTAAAACTTGCCACTAAAGTTGGAAATTGGTCAGTATGTTACATTAAAAATATATTAAAAAGCCAATATTTAAAAGATAATCAAAGAATTTGCATTGTTATCTTCCCCAACCCTTTGTCTGCAAACAAGCCATTATATTAATCCAGTATTTGTATCAATAAGTGTGTATGTGGAAAGAAACTGTTGTCCCCTCCTAGTGTAGGTGTCATTTAGGTTCACTTACATGTCATTTAATTTTACTTTTCACAATAACTATAGTAATTTATTCTTGTCTTCACTTTACAGATAAGAAAATGGAAGAGCAAAAAGTGAAGGAACATGGTCTTGGTTTCATATACTAAAAGATGAATCCAAAGCTCAAGAGTTTTCCAGTACAGCATTCTGGAAGGAGTTGAATGTTCAAACCTTGTCCTCAATGACAATACTACCTTCTCTTCTTTTCGAGACTTTTTCTTCCAGAACTTTTGTATCTTTAGCTAGGTTATACTCAAGATAACTATGTCTAGGAATAGTAAATGATATAAAAATACATTTTTGTCACAGCACACATTCTCCCCCATAAGCTTAATTTGACAATGCAATAACCACATTTAATTGTTGACTTTCATTTAAAAACTATTTTACAGAAAATTTTTCAAAGCCCCACTTCACTGTCTCACATTATTTATCAAATTATCCTGGGGCATTTACTTATATCCTCATCTTTGATCCTTACAGCCCAGAAACAGAGGATAATACTTATAAGCAAGCCAATTCTATCGCCTTGTTTTGAAAACTCTACTTTGCTTCCACCCATCTAAAGCAAGGTTAATGGAGAAAATATCCATACCTGCCAGAATCAAGTAAGTTGCAACAATGTTGTGTTCAGTCTGCGAAAAGACAGAGCCATCTTCATTTTTTGAGTCTGAACTGTTATCTAAATTATTCTTTAGCATTTTTGGAAGGAAGATATTGAGACAGCCTTCATAATAAGCCTTCAATAATTATGAACTGTTTCAAGGGCCCAGGAGGAAAGATTTTTCAGGACCAATCATTTCCAGTGAGAGACCTCAAAGAAGGACCTTTTCATAGAGGTCTTTCCTTAACAAGTATAATAGGGCTAAAGAGGAAGGGATTTTAATTCCCAGAGCAAGGGAAAAGCTTATTAGCAAAACAAAGAAATACCAAGTACACACATTTTAACCAATTTGGGCATCAGTCTTATATTTAAGCAGATTATCAAGCACACACATCCTTTTTCAATAATAAACTCAGAAAATCAGTGCAGGAACTGACTTAACTTTTTTGTCTGAAATCTACAAGCCAGATTTAGTCCTCTGTAACTGCTCAGATTAAGGACCCTGTTTTCTCGTTGACCCTTTGAGATTTTCCATTTCAGTTCCCTGTTTTCCTTAACAATTTAAATAATCAGAGATAAAAAGTAATCTCCCCCATACTTCCAAATCTCACTCCCCTAAATTTAGCTATCAATATTGTTTGGTGTGCATTCATTCTTAAGCTTTTCTTTGCTTATATAAACATGTTTATATAAAAGAGTCTGAGGTTTCTCACACTTTTTTCCCCTTTTAAACAAAAATGTGATCTATGCATATAAATATATAAACATTGTGTATATATATATGAACACAAACATCATATATAAGTATTATGTAATTTGTTTCCATAAATGCCATATAATAAGTTCAAGGTAATAAACTTATTAATAGATACATATTCATAGCATGGATATACTCCACCATCTACCTCTGTTTAATTACCCACTTTGATATGCACATGAGTAATCAATAGTATTTGGATTCAATCATTCATTTTGTAAAGGTTAATTCTAATATTCTGGATTATCATGTTATAATCTGAAAAACAAGTTGCAATATAATATGAACATGTACTGTTAAACAAAAGACAAGGTATCACTACTTTTTTTGTATTTTATACCACTACAACATTAAAATCTGATTCTTCTTAATAGTGAACTTCAATCAAGAGAAATGCTTAGATACACCAAAATTAATAGTGTAAGCATGTAACAGAACCACTAGAGGGCTATATTTGTCCATTTACTTACTTTAATTCAATGATTAGCATAATCTTCTCACCTCAGTTCTCTCACATGAATATAAACAGAAGAACACAGGTTGATTAATCTGTTCCCAATGATTTAGCTACTAATACTCAAATTCTTATAAATGTAAAGTAATACTCTGCAGAGTACCTATAATAGAAAAATTATCTTCAGTATTCCAAAACACCAAAATATTTTCAAATAAGACTAAAAAGTAAATCATACTATGAAGAACTCTGTTAAAAGCCTGTGGTTGTTGGATTTTAAGGTTGTTTCCTTGCTTAGGAAAAAGACTGAAAACCGAAGTTTGAAAATGGTCAATGACCTCAAGATATACATAAGGTAAAAGGTGAAATCTTAAGAGATTGTCTACTGCTGCATACATTACTTTCATTATTGCCATTTTAGGTTTTTTTAAATACTAAAAAGAAAAAAAAAAACCTCTTTAGTAATGTAACACTATTACTTGTCCTTCGGTCAATGCTACTGCCCCTCTGGTACTAATACCATTTAAAAATCAAGAGCAAAATCTCATCCCAAAGACTCTGAATCAAAGAGCCATCTTTCCTGAGCTGTTATGCACAACCACCTCTTTGCATGAAAGAGAAATTTTCAATATCTCATTTATGGCCTATCTGTTGATTAATCTTGCTGTAATTCCATTAATTAAAAAGGATAAGTAAAACCCAAAATACTAATAATAAGCAATTACATGCTATTTAAATGAGCATTAAAGAGTTAATCATTCATGCTAGAAATCTTAATATAAATATTTCCTGCTGAGAAACAAGTGAGAGAGAAAAAAAATCTCAAATGATACTTGGTAAATGGTCCCATGTCACGGTATTCTAACTTACTACTATGGTTATTTCTTGATACTACTATACTAACAACGGTGACTGAAACCAATTTCATTTGTAACATCCCTACCCAAGAATATGAACATGTGAAAGGCAATTAAATCATTTATGGCGAATAACATCTTAATCCTTTACAGTCCTCTAAAAAAAACGAAAATTTAGAAATTTACAACTGTTAATAACGTATCTATGTTCAATAAGAAAAGTTCAATAAGAAAAATTAAGCATTTCTTTAGAAATTTCTTTAATTAGTTCTCACTTGAACACAGCTACTCAAATTTAAATAGATTCATAGTAAGATTTTAAAATTATTAACTACAATTAGAGAAACTGCTTTACTCTATGTACTAACACACAAAAAAGGGAAATAAAAGATGCTAATGTTCTCATACACAAAAGGCAAACATTTGGAAAGAGGTACTAATTTATAAATAATCTTAAAGTATTGCTCCAGTAGTATGTTTCTTTAGAATACCAGTAATTTATATAAACAAATCCTGTTTTGTTTTTTTCTATCTGTAATTCACTGGGTTTAAGCTCTAGTTGTTCCTTCAAATTTCAAAAACTAGATTTGGTTCAATAAACACACTAAATAATTTAAAGGAATAAAACATTTTATTTAAAAAATTCATATATGATTCAAATGAAAACTCCTTTCCATTTATTAAGCACCCACAGAGTACCAGGCACTATACAAAATATAAAGACTTATTTCTGCTCTTTCAGAGCTAAAATGATGGTTCTGCTGCACTCATTTATGCATAACACTGACACACCAACTCCACTGTCACAAAATGACTACATCTTCCAAGACTTGCTCAAGACATCAGTTTCCAATCCAGAGCAGAAGCAGATCATGCAGTTAAAGCAGAAGTCAACTGATGAAGTCTGTCAGATGCTATATCTAATGTCCTCTCCCTGGGCAAGAGAAAATTAAAGTGTTAACGGACCAGAAAAGAGATTTTTAATATAAGTATTAACCAAATCTCAGATTTAAAATCAACATTAGTCCTATAATTTTAGTAAATTTACCTTACCAAATGTAACTGTCATTCATACTATACCTTTGATTTTCAAATTAAAAATACAGCAAAATGTTAGAAATACAAGAAAAAATTTAAAAGAGGGAAAAAAAGGATATAAAATGAAGCCAAAAATTAGTCTAAAGCAAAGAATACCACAATGTTCTATTTACTTGCTAGCAGAGAGAAAATTAAAAGAAGAAAATTGCAGATAGTATCAATCCTAAAAATTCAGTCATTAAAGACATTTTTTTCTTATACTCACCTCGGAAACCACCACCCCCTCTTCCTCCTCTGAAGCCACCACCTCCTCTTCCACCTCTAAATCCACCTAAAAGGGGAAATTTTATTAAATAACTGTAGCTTCTCACTTGCTGATAAGCCAACAAAGATACAATTCTTATAATTAAAAAGAACAAATATAGATTCACCTATTATCTTACATAAATTTTTTTTCAAAGATAAAAATGGAGAAACTGTAGCAGTTCTCCAATCAGGCAGGAGGGCAAACCTCAGATTACCAACTTTAGACAGGACTCCATCGTTATGAATCAGAAAAACTTGTCAAAGTATGATTAAGCACTATTGCTAAATGTATGATTATCTCAACTTTTAAAATATTTTCTAACATTTTTTAAGTTGTTAATGGACTTTTATTTATTTTTATGTGATGCTGAGAATTGAACTCAGTGCCTCAGACATGCTAGGCAAGTGCTCTACCACTAAGCTACAACCCCAGTCCTTACCTTAGCTTTTGCTTATGTAAATACTTTTAATTGAACTAAGGATAGTTTGATTAAAACCATTTATTCTAAAAACAAATGGGAGCAGGTATGGGTAGTTTTGCTCTGGGGATACTACAGAAAATATCATGTGGAAGTTTAACCAAGCTGCATATGTACCATAGGTGATGCTCGGGTGCTAATAAACCTTGAAATTTCAATAGTTACTGTACAGCGTACTGTGTTGCTAAGCGATGATGTATGGCAGGTTAGGTATACTAAGTGGATTTTCAACTAGATTGGAAATCTCTAATTTAGGCTGGGTTTATAGGGATGTAACCCCATTACAAGTCAAACAGCACCAATATTACAAACAGTTCCCAGCATAACATCAAAGCCATGGGTTTTAATTCTGGGTCTGCCAACTGATTATGGCAAATGAACTTCTAAGAGACTCCATTTCCTCATACACAAAATCAGAACATCACCTATCTCAAAAATCTTTGCTAATTATTGAAAGAATGTACATGGATAGTAAGAGTAAGACCAGCTCTCAGCATACAGTCAATATACAATGACAATTATCTAAGAAACTAAACTTCAGTTAAGATAATCATACAGTCATATAGTGTACAATGACATTTTGGTCAACAAAGTCCATGTATAAGACAGTGGTCCCATAAAATTACAATGGAGCTAGAAAATTCCTATTGCCCAGTGACACTGTAAACTGATGCATTATTCACATAATTATGGTATTAATGATATAAACAAACCTACTGTGCTGCCAGTCATATAAAAGTATAGAACGTACAACTTGGTATATACTTGATAATGATTATGAACATCTATTATTAGCTTATGTGTTTATTATTCTTTTTAATGTAATTTTATAGTATACTCCTACTTATAAAAAAGCTTACTGTAAAACAATGCCATCGGACACCAGCATTAGCCCCATACATCTCATGTTTACCATCTCTCAACTGTGTCAAGAAGCCACGTTGGGTGACTGACCTATACTATTTAGATTTGTGTGAGCACACTTAATATTCACACAACAATGAAACTGCTTGATGAGGAATTTTTCAGAATTTATCTGCCATTAAGTAACAAATGACTGTACTTTATGAAACTCCCTAAGAAAACCAAGAGATAAAATAACCTAAGAGTTAAACATCGCTCAAAAGTGAACTGTTAAGGTTTTTTTCTTTTTAAATAACTGAAACAAAGCATTATTACTATGGACAATCTGCCAATACTTGAAAGAAGTTTTACCAAAATAAATAAATACAAGGGAAGTTTGCCTATATACAAAATTAAATTGTACTACATGAATCAGCTGTGGCTATGAAGTCTCATTAGAAATTTTCTCCCATAAGTAACTTACCACCTCTACCGCCGCCTCTGCCGCCACCTCCTCCCCTTCCTCCTCCTCGGCCTCCCCGGCCACCACCTCGTGGAGGTCCTTTCTCACCAGGAGGTCGAGGTAAAAACCTCTGCAGCGGCAGCAACTTAAATGGGTCTATATAAAACTGGAAATTTAATACAAACAATTTGTAAGATAACCTGGGGGACAATACAATATAATGAAAACTGCTTAGGTTCAAATCTTATTCTTAGCACTTATTACTGTGTAGTTCTGAGCAAGGACTTACTTTTCTAGTACCTTGGTTTTCAGTAAAATGTAGACAATAAGGCATGATTGTGTGAGGATCAAAAAGTAATGTACATAAACCACCTAAGAAGCATTACACACATAAAATTGAGCATAAAATTTAAAATAAAGCATTGGCGTACCAGCTTTCAAGACTATTACAAGGGATCACATCAATGTTTCCTGAACACATTGAGTAATGAATGATATACAGAAACTAACCCCATCCTTTATCTGGAGTTAAGGACGTTTTGGAGCTGATAAAATTTTAAGGAAGCATGTTCTCTCCCGGGTCTTCTACACAAAACACAATCAGAGGCTTCAAAACTGTAATATATTAGTTATAATAATATCTGTAGTCCTCTCTACATATCCCTTTGTTACCCTTCTCTTTGTGACCCATCATCTCAAAACTATTGTCTAGATCTACATGTGCAGTCTGGCAGCCACTAGCCACATGTTGCTATTTAATGATTAAAATGTGAGAATAAAAATTATGTTCATGAGTCTCGTAAGTCACACTTCAGGTGCTCAATAGCTATGTTGTGGCCAGTGGCTACTGTACTGGGCAGGAACTTCCATCATCACAGAAAGCTCAACTAGGTGGCACTGGTTTCCAGACTTTATCCCAAGTTGGATAAAGAAACCCTGAACTTAAAACAGATAACACTGGACTGGAAACCAAAAGAAATACAATGTGCCCAACTTAGTACCTGTGATTTAGGGGAAAACACACACACACACACACACACATATATGAAATACTAAATCCTCAAATTAATAATACTGTAAGAAACAGCAAGGATATGAATCAATTCAAGTGACTATAACAGGTACTTTTCTTTACCCAGGTTGCTAGATGAGAAGCCTATCTCAGCACAGTTTCTTTCTAGGCTCTTCAGCTCCAGGGACCCTCTAGCAACAAGGCATAGTTTCCATCTCATTTCCTATTCCAATCTAGCTTCTGGGTCTACCATTCCACTGGCTACTTGAATTCCATGTTGCTAAACCCAAAGAAGACTTTACAGCATTTTGCCAGAGCTGAGCAACTCCTCTCGTAAACACTCCATTCTCCTGGGATACTACTTTTAAACATGCTTGTAGTTTGACTCCCTTTCTGCAGAAAATATTTCTTAATCTCCGCTAGGACATTTACATTTGGGAAGTACCCTAAAGCTCTTCATCCATGTTTTTTCTTCTCATTCTTTTAGACTGTTTTATAAACTGCCTGTACACTGACAACTTCCAAGTTTCATCTCTAGTTCATATCCTTCCTTTAAACTCCTGACCATTGGACTATTTCACAAGTACCTTAAACGCATTATGTCCAAAACCACTCCTTATTTCCCCTTAATTCTCTCTTTTCCATAGTTGCTCATTTCAGTAAATGGTGCCACCATCTATAAACATGCTGAAGTTTTTTTTTTTCAACCTTTTCAACCTCAATAGCTAGTCAGTTACCAAGTCCTATTGATACGATGACCTACATTTCTCTTAAATCCACCTACTCTTCTGCATTTCAACTGTCTTTCCCTCAGCCAAAAATACCTCTTGTAAGACTACTGTAACAACCTACTGGGCCCCTTCACACAAAGTACTGATTCCTTTCCAATGTGCTTTTCTATTTTTCCATAGTGACTTTTTAAAGAATAAATTTAAATGTTATTATCTTATAATTTAAAAGGGGAAAAAAAGTTAAAATCTGAACTCTTTGTGATGACCTAGAGTAATCAAGCTCCTTCCAATCTCACAATTTTACTTCACATCTTTCCCCACTTCTCCTAGAGGTTCTATGCCCACACCATAGGTCCACCTCTTTTAAATACTTACGTGGCTTACTGAGATTTTGCAGTTTACTTAGACTGTACTTCATCCTCTTTGATTGCTCAGTGGTTTCTAAGCGCATTGTCTAACTACATCAAAATTATCCTGGAGCTTGGATCTGACCCCTACTAAGAGCAACTGGGTCAAATTTCTAGGAATGGGACCTAAAAGGACATCTTAAAACCTCCCCCTTAGATAACTCTGAAGTGCCATCAGTATTGAGACTCATTCCTAGTCAACTTTCAGGTCTCAACTTTAAGCCCATTCTAAATCTCGCCCCACTATAAAGATTCTAATGGGAACCTATATATTTCCTGCACAACATTTATCTTGTTATGAAAATACTTCTGAAATACTTTTAATATCCATCTTTTTCCAGATGTTTTACAATGTAACATTTTACTTAGAATGTTTGCTCATGCAACTTTTCTTGAGGGGTGGGGGGGTGGGGGAGGAAGCTGGGGATCAACTGAGGGCCTCACCCATACCAGGCAAGTATTCTACCACTGAGTTACATCCCCAGCCCTTAAACATTTTAATAATTTAAAAAAAAAAATCCTCTGGATTTTTATAGATTTTGCTAACATGAGCAAGGAGTACATTCTGAAAGGATCAGTAAGCTCAATGTTTATAATATAGAACATTTCACTTTAACCCATTTTGTCCCACTGTCCCAGATAGAGAATAGCTATAAAAACTTAAATTAAGCAACAAATACACCACTGATGGTAACTTCAAAGTAATAGTCAAACATTTATTATGTTTGCAGAATTGAAAACTTGGGATTGATTAGGTTAAGAGCTTCACTAGTGATACAATGGGGGAGACTGAAGTGCACCAAGTAGTACTATCCAAAGGTATGTCATTCCCTTATAAAACCAAGGATCCTAAGTATTGTAAGCTTGACTCACCTTCTGTAGTTTTTTAAAGGAAGCTGCCTTCATGTTTTCTGACAATTTAACTGAAAAATACTATTGATTTTATTAAGGAATAAAAAATTAAGATGAAGATACTAAGCCTTCTGAATTCATTTATCATTCTATAAACAAAGTTACAAGGTACAAACATATATCGAAAAGAGAAAAAATGGATTCCCAGAGGAAATGGAAGTTTTCTTTAAAAAACAAAACATACCATACCATTCCAGCAGCACCATAATATGCAATGAAACCAATTTAATCCTGTAGCTCTTATCTAAAAGTTCATAATTTCTAAATTTTCCAAAAAGAAAGTCATTTTTCTAGGGCTTTATTTCAGGTCATATAAATGAATACTTTTTCCCCCTCTTCATTCTCCTTATGATCCAACCTGTTGTAATACTGATTTATTCATGTATGTGTATGTATTTTACTTTGGGGGATTGAACCAAGGGATGCTCTGCCACTAAGCTACAACCCTAGTCCTTTTTTAAAAAAATTTTTGAGACAGTCTCACTAAGATACCTAGGCTGACCCTGAACTTGGGATCCTCCTGCCTCAGCCTCCCAAGATGCTAGGATTACAGGCATGGACCACCACACCTGGAAATGCTATCTTAATTAAGAAGTTAAATTTAATGACTATTTAATTGCAAAGGGGGAGGGAGATAATAAATTCATGGTCAGTGAAATTACCAGGTTATCCAATTAAAAAGGATACAAAATCTCTAAGTTGTCCAAATATTTCATCCACTTTTCCAATTTGTTCTTTGTTTTCTAAATAAACAGGAGCATTGAAATAAGGCACCTTATTTTCATCTGTGGTACATTTACAAACTATGTCATCTTCACAAGGATGCAGGAACTCGCCTAATACTGAAATAGAACAAGAAAATATGAATATATGAAACTATATCAAAGGATACTGGCCAATGTCTCTGATTTCTTAACTGTCTGAAATTTCACTATACCTGCTCTCTTCTGAGACAGAAGAGCACAGTCATTAACAGTGTGGACTTCTTGAGCTGACATGCCCACTCCACAACTTACAGCTAGTAGCCACAGCTACTAGTTAAGGTGACCTAGGGAAAGGTCTTCACTTTCTCTCTGCTTTAGTGTTCTCTTTAATATGGGGATAATAACATATAAGCTGTATCTACACCAACACATGATTAAATGGAATAATAAATGTCAAGAGTTTAGAATAGTGCTTGACTGACACACTGAGACCATTCAACTGTAAGTAATCTTATTATAACTATTCCAATTTCATCAAACACTACGCTTTATTTTCCTGATCTTTTCCTCTTTCCCCCAACCCTTAAATGTAAATCAGTCTCCGTTCTTGTCTTTTTCCCTCTCCTTTCCTAGAACCCATTCCCACTACCACCTCTTTGCCAATGATTCTTAATCATTTTCAGGCAAGTATACAGCCCCAAAATATCTAACTCTATTTCTATTACCCCAAATAGAACACTCATCACATGCCTGCAAAATTAACTCTCCTTCCCTATCCAAGCTCAAAACCTTTCATTTCTAATATCAGTCAAGTTCTACTTACTTTTTTCCCTTCAAGTCTTTTCCACCTAACCCTTCCATTTTTTCCTCACTGTTGTCATCCTAAATCAAGACTTCAATGTCTCACGTAAGGATTGTTATAACAGCCTGTGAGCTGGGACCACTGCATTGAGCTATGCCCCCCCCTGAACCATCTTCACACGGATCCACCCATTCTTAGTGAGGCTCCGTTCACTTAAAACCCTAGCAAAGAAACTTAATTCTGAATCAATTTTCTCATCTGTAAAAAGGGGTAAGGATCCATTAATGCCTAATTAATCTTTTCAGCCTAAGCTCAAGTTCCATAGTACATTCTCTAATATCTTTTTAACTACAGTACCATTTTAAGTCAGTTTCTAGCACCTCCCACCCCAAGCTGCATACTCCTTTTCGGAGCATCCAACTATCATTCATACTTGCTGATAACAAACCCACAAACAAACCCCACTTCTCCAAACAGGCTAAATAAACTTTGAAGACGACATACAGACTACACGTTCCGGAGGTCCTTGATCTTGGCTTTTGTTAAAGCCTCCTCGGCCACCCCCTCGTCCAAATCCTCCTCTGCCGCCGCCTCTGAAGTTGCCGCCTCCTCCACCTCGAAAGTGGTTGTTGCTACTGCCACCACGGTTGAAGCCGCCGCCACCACCACCACCTCGGTTAAAGCCACCACGACCTCCGCCTCGAAAAGACATGATCTTTCCTACCTGGTGGAAAAAACAGTAAGTACCTTATGATCATTGTGGTCTACGAATACACATGTGATATTCCTGCGCCTCGCTCAGAACACCATAAAAAAGAACAATTATGACAGCATCCCTGACATTTCGCCCACACCGCCAATATTATCTTCCCATGGCCCCAGGAGCGCCGCGCGATCACACACCAGCCTCGCCGCCCGCGGTTACTACCTCCTTCCCAAGTAGGAAGCAAGGTCTTCAAGCTGCTTGCCTTTCTTCCTCCCTCCCTCCCGCAGCTGCGTTCTGCTTCCCACATTATCTGACCCTTTTGCTTCTCTGACCACTCACCGCCGCCACGTGCACCTTTGGCCCGGGCCTTTACGTTCACACCCACCCGCAGGACACTTCCGCCGAGCTGGAACCTCCTCGGCCACCGTACGGCATAGACTTTAAAAAAAAAATACAAACTCGAATTACTGGTTTGCAAAAAGAGCCAGTCACGGAGAGAGGCAGCGACACTGACGCCTTTCTAAACAAGCCTTCAAAGCCGGAAAAGAAGCAACAATATCTAACTCCAACCAGGAGTTTACGACAGTAAGATCAACTTGCTTAGCAAGAGAAAGCGGAAGTAAAGCGAAACGGCAACCATTACGTCAGGACGTTACCGGAAGTATTGCCGTCGTGTTGCCCTAGGAGATAGCGGAGTTAGGGACCCGCCTCCTCTTGCCAGAAGTCGGGCGTTTAAGTGTCAGGCGAGGTTGCGCTCCTTCAGTCTTTGCTCTCTCGTGTGGTTCTCTTCCCACCCTCAGCCTGGAGAACCGGTCTTTAACCTCGTTCATTCGTGGTCGCGAAGTGTGACCATGGTTCCAGGCCGCGCTCTGCCCAGAGGTGGGTCTGGCCATATCAACCTGTCACAGCTGGCGGAAGTGCTTGCATTCTTTCAAGGCTCTTGTTTGTTGCAGATCTTTTGAAATATACGCCCTTGTCGGCTGAACTGTGCCTCTCCATTTATCCTCTGGTTTCATTAAAGAAAGAAAAGTGTATATGTTTAAAGAAATTATTATCTGATAGGAAGCCAAACTTACCTTTTAATCTTTTGTACAGTACAGTTGATTCATTCATCAGGTACGACGTTTTGAGCACAGATGGGATTAATAGAAGTTTCTCCTCATTTTTCCGTAAGCTTTTGGTATCTGACATAATCCCCACATTGACCAAAATTCCCTCACTAGTAAAGGTAGTGATCTCTAACTATTATATTTGGTTGACCTCCTTTTTTATGTTAAACCTCTATGATCTTTCCTTGATATTTGACACAGTCTACTGCCCCTTTGAAAGAAGGTGGAGATTGGTACCCTATTTCAGAGCGTTATTGTAAATGGAATTTTGAAAGACAGTTTGTAAACTTTATTATGGAAATATTGGGAGTCCCAGTATGTCTACACTAAATATAGTGGGCACCTAATAGCCCTGAAAAGGAATTTGTTGAGTGTATTTTAATTCAAATTTGATAAATGCACTTTAAATTCTGTACATCTTACAGGTATAGAATTATTCATAATTGCCCTACTTTGTATATTTTTTTTCTTTTTGGTACCAGGGTCTGAACTCAGGGGCACTCGACCACTGAACCATATCCCCAGCCCTTTTTTTGTATTTTATTTAGAGGCAGGGTCTCCCTGAGTTGGTTAGCGCCTCGCTATTGCTGAGGCTGATTTTGAACTCTGATCCTCCTTTTTCAGCCTCCTGAGCCACCGGGCCCAGCTTCCCTGCTCTATTTTGTGTTGTGCAATTTAACATTAAGTTTGGTGTTTCTATTTCCATTTGGTGTCCCGCTATTATCTCCAACTCCAGTATGATAAAAACCATTGAACTTATATAAGAACTTTAAGATCACCTGTTACCTAACTACTTTATAAATACTCGACATTCAGAGAAGTGAAATACCTTCACCAGCTAGTAAGAACAACAGACTAAAACTTTGATTCTCACAATCCTCAGTCCTTTATTGTCCCTCCTACCTCCACCCTATCCTCTTCCCAAATTGTTCATCTTTCCATTTCCTATATGTCTTCATGGTAGCATCATACTCTTGGTTTCTAATCTCTGAACTCAGACCTTTGAGCACTCTCCTCCTTGCTTACCATCACTACCACCATCCCTACCCCAGCCTGGTTGCAATCTCTTTTATCCAAAGCTATCAATTTATTTTCATTTCTTCCAAAATAACTTTGTATTTGTCAGCAACTGATTATAGGCCTCTTGACACTCATGCTTCCTTGTCTTATTCCTGCCCTGAATAATCCAATACAATTCTACAAGAATTCAAATATTCAGAAATAATAACAGTGAGTAATGGCATCTTCTCACATTATGAACATCTTTATTATCTTAAATACTTTCAGGCTTAACTTCTTCCTCCAATCTGTACTGCATTTGATGACATATTGAACTTAGTAAGTTTCCTTATATCATTCCCATTTCCTTTAGCAACAAATCTAAGTAAAACCTCTCTATCAATTATGCCTTCTATGTAATTAACTTTTCCCCCCCTGTGCCTTACACCATCCCTTTGTCCCATCAAGCCAGCATTGCTGCCTTTCTTCTCTTTCTCTTTGTCAATTGCTTCCTTTTGCTAGCTAGCATAAGTTCCATTTCCCATCTACTAGACCAATCTCTATTTTTTCACCCTGGAGGAACTCCTGAAATAATTTTCCTGACTCCAGAGCCACCTCAAAAAAAAACCTACACACACACACACACACACACATGCACACACGTCACACAAAATAGCATGATAAGCAAGTCAGAAACAATGATCAGATAATAACTGTCAATGCTTTTGTTTTAACTGTGGCAAAATACACGTAAAATTTACCATCCTCATCATTTTAAAATGTATAGTTCAATGATATTCAGTACATTTACGTTCTTGTACATCTCTGCTCTTTTGAATACAGAATGATGTTTTTCTGTGAATCTGATTTATCTGCCTAATCTATAAGCTAATAAGAATAATAACTCACAAAGAATATTAACTAATGCAAAGTAAATGAGAGAGAAAACTTCAGCTTTTTATTTTAATTTTAATGAATGTTGATTTGTTTTTATAAGCCTGGATATGCACAAGAGTCATTTTAAAATGAAAATGATGAAATGTGTTTGTTCAGTGTGAAATCTTGTCTTTTGTTGTGTTTACACCCATTCTAAGTTGAACTTGAAATTGGCACATAGATTTCATTTTCAACTGAAATGAGATAGTTTCTGTCTTTACTCATGATGCTCATTCAGTAACAACAAAAAAAGCTTTCTCACACAAATAAAAAGTTGAAAAGTATGGCAAAATGATCATTCCTTTCCTAATGAACAACCGAATGCTTTTCTTTCACAGAAGAACAAAGTTTAGAGAAGGGAAAATCAGTACATTTCATCTGTTTACAGTCATAAACTTATAAAGTTCTTCCCTTTCTGTCAAAGTCAGGTGCTCAGGATGATAAGATTCAGGGAAAGGGGCAGTCATCCAGTGAAACAGTGTGTCAAAGGAGAAGGAAAATATTATTTAACCTGTTCAATTTTGTTCTGCAATCTTCCCAAAGTGGTTTTCAGTAAGACTTGAGACTTCCTCGCTCTCAAATCCAAGCAGCAATGGAAGGATTTCAAGATTTCTATTTGCAATATGACTTTTCCAACAATTTGATTTCCATTTAAACCTAGGAATCTTATCACTGTGAGTCCAAATATTTTCTCTAGAGCTTTGAAAATACTTGTTCAACTAGTCCATTTGATGAAAGATATCTGCTAAGTAGCTAGTTTCTGCAGCCATTCTTCATCTTCAAAGCTGACAAAAATCTGGATTACTTTTTTTTTAATGGTACTGGGGATTGAATCCAGGGCCTTGGGCATGTGTGGCAAGCACTCTACCAACTAAGCTATATCCCCAGCCCTCACCTTCTATTTTCTGAAAAGTACTCCTACAATTCATTTTCCAACTCAAGCATCCTGTTAAGAACCAAAATCTGTATTAGTACCTTTTCTTTATAATAAATTACCCAACAGTTAATTATTTAAAACAACAAACATCACTTTGCACAATTTCTATAGGTCAGAAATTCAGGCCAGGTGTAGTGGCTTATATCTGTATATCATCTCTGGAGGCTAAGGCAGAAGGATCACAAGTTTGTGGCCAAATTGGACAACTTAGCAAGATCCTGTCTTAGAATAAAAATATAGCTTTTGCTACAATGAGGATCTGGGATCTGGGCTCAGTCGCTGGTACATGGGGGTTGAGGGGCAGTGTTTCAGATCCTAGGGTTTTGTTTTGTTGAGTTGTGTTGTGGTTCCAGGGACTGAACTCAGGGCCTCTTGTATGCTAAGTATACGCTCTACCTCTGAACTACAGCTACATCAAAAAAGGAAATAAATCCAGGAATGTCATTAGCTGGATAGTATTTGTAATTCTCCTTTCTATGATTTGTAGTTCTCCTTTATTATGATTTGTAGTTAAGTGCTTTTTCAGTTTTGCTGGAGCCATTGCTGCATTTATTAGTTGGGGATTCTTCATCACAATTCTATGTTTTTTATCAGAATTACTGAGGCTTACAATTCTCTCCCACTTCGTCCTCACAATTCACCACATTGAATTGAAAGATTTGTAAAACACAGGTGGTAATCAAGTATTGTGAACCTATAAAGCAAGTCAAAAAATACTGAATCTGAAAACAGTTTTTTCAAGACAATATGAAGATGATCATCTGGTAGTAATGAATTCTAACAGCATAGAATTTGCATTTCCCCAAATGGTGTCATGTGAGGGATATTGGTTTTTACAAATTCTTTTTTAAGTGCAAAGAAGGACGTTACAGCAAACCATTTATTAAGACTACTTTTGTTGATAAGAACAGCACAGGACTTAGGCTGTCATCCTTGGTAAGAAGTGCAATAAGAAGGAAAAAACTTTTACTAAGGTTATTTATTATCTCCAGGTGGTCAGGAAGTTTGAAGAAAACTGGGATTAGAGTTCTGGAACAAGGCCATACCATATGCAGCAGAGAATTATACTCCATTTGAGGGTATAATTGTGCGCTTCTGGTCCCTGATAAATGCCCATGCCCCTTTTCAGCTTACAGGAACTGCTTTATTTATTTATTTTTTGTGTGTGTCCATGTTTTATTTACATAGGTACCATTAAAATACAGTATGCCTTCAGGGTCACATTTCTAAAATTAAGCATTAAATACTGATCTCTTCTCCACCCAACCGCCCACACCATTCTCCCAAAACCACACACAACAAACTCTTCTGCAACCTCACTTTAAACCACAAGGGACACTTGCTCCTGGCCCAACCTGGACACTACTGATGGCTCGCACCAGAATGCTACAGGAACTGCTTTATAGAAAATCTGATATAACTTGTGAGGGAGGAATAAAGGGAGCATGGGACACTATGTCACCATGTGGCCAGAACTGCCTTCTGTCAATTGAGTACTTGGGTCCTCACAGATTTACAAAGCATAAGATTAGGCAGATATAGCAACAATGTATCTTTTATTTTTATGTTTTGCAGTGCTGGAGCTGGACTGAAGGGCCTGGCACATGCTCTATAAATGCTGTACCAATGAGCTACATACCCAGCCCCCAAAATGTATTATGACATCTACAACCAAACACAAACACCACCAGAGGCTACAAGCAAGGTACTTTTAGCAGGTATCCCAGAACTATTTGGGGATCATCCAAATGGATGCCCATGCCCCTCCCTTACAGGTCACACATATGGCTATATGGGGAATCTACTTAAGGAAGAGAGAAAAACCAACTGAAGGAGGAGAGAAAAACTTGCAATGGGTTTGCTTAGCATGCAGGTACAAGTCAAAAATAGGCAGCATCTGTATTACAATCACATGGGTACTTTTGAAAGACATTGGTGAGGAAAAATCCTTCCTAGAGGCAGAACTTAAGGGGGGCACACTTGATCATCCACTCCAAAT